GTACTAAGCTTTGATAGTGTGACAATCAAGACTAGTGTCTACTTTCGATTGCCAACAAACATGGCGGACACCGTCTTGAAATTCGTTGTTTACATTCTTTAAATTGTGAAAATAAGCAAATTAAAGACTATTCTTTATTATTTTTGGTGTTGATTCTTGATGGGGTACCTTGAGGTGTGTCTCCATTGCTTCAGTATGAGATGCCAGCGCATTCGGAGGTTTTAACGAGACTAAGTGTGAGGAAGTTCTCACCACTCTGTTAGTACTACCCTACACTACACTCCAACCCGCTGCAGAGATGTGATGTCAAAACCAACGGCAGTCAACCCTTCTCATCCCGTGCTGCTGTTTCTCCACGCTATGAAATATTCACCAAGCTCCAAACTTGTAGTCTGAAAGACAACATCCCTCAAAACGAGATCAAATAGCTATCTCGAGCCACAATGAAGATCTTACAGAATGAATAGAACAGTGGCAGATATCTGTACTAAAGACCTATCTGTCCAGTGCTCTGCACCAGCGGAGAGAACACCTCACAATCACAACAACAACATCAAAAAAACATGACTAAAAACAAATCCCAACTGAAAGTGAAATGCATTACTGAATAATCAAACCAGGCCGCACTAAAGAATTCAATCTTTAAACAATTTAAAATTTGTTTAGATGACAAAAACATATTTATCAGCAAAATGAAATTATTTTTTTATTTTCTGCGAGTCTCATTCTATAACTGAACAGCTGATAGACCTGTTTTCCAACTGACCAACACTCTAGATTTCCTTACCAGACAAATTAGTCAAGCTGTAAATTCAACAGGCGCGCAGTCTTGCGAATGGAACAATAAAACCTTTGCCCAGTGTGCTGCAGGCTGTGCATGTTAAAGATCCCAGCGAAAATTCCATCTCAAACAAAACTGAAGGCAGCTGCAGAAATGTGAGACGTAAAGTCTCCATTCATTTCATTTCTGAATTCCGCATATCATAGCTATACCGAAAATTTATATACAAACGCAAACCAGACAGTGAAAACCACGGCAGTGTCTTCTCTCATTTTTTACACACCACAGAAATGTTGATCAAGACATAAAGAAAAAAAACAGAGAGGCCTAAGAATTATGTTCCTTACATTTAGAAAAAAAAATTTGAAAAAAAACAAAAAATGGCAACAGAATGAATTAAAAAAAAAATAAGTAAGCCTACGTCTTCCTTTAAAAAAGTGCCTCATTCCCCACAAAATGAAACAGTGGTTCAGGGATGTGTGTAATCTTATTTGCCAGTCAGGTTTGACTTACTTGTTGCTTATGTCAAACATATTTTTAAACACATCAAGACACCACACTTTGACAGTGACTCTGGCACACTTTACGCTTGTTCAGTTGAACAATGGACAGCTCTTCAATCTAGTTTCATGTAAAACGATCTCAATTTGTGCTAGATTTATTAGTTGTCTTTCAATTTAGCAAAATAGAGTAAAACAAGTCAATTTGTGAGTTATTTGTATTCTGAAGCCGGCTTTGTATGGACTGAGTTATCTTTTCCTGTTAATAGCTATCAGATTTAAGAGTCAATAAAGGTAGTTTAACGTCATTTCGGCCCATTTGCCACTTTGCCACGTGGTCTCATGAACAAAATAATAAAACTTGCGAATCCTTTCATCATTTGCGATTGCAAACATGTTTAGTTGTTCAAACTACCTCTTCGTGTGGTAAAAACTGTCTAAATGTCGTCTTAGAGTCGTATCAAGACAAATTTATTTACCATGGACGAAATGACATTGGGGCGGTTTGGCCTATTATAAATTGCATTGTATGACAATCGAGACTTGATCATGTTCTAGGCTTTGATAGTGTGACAATCAAGACTAGTGTCTACTTTCGATTGCCAACAAACATGGCGGACACAGTCTTGAAATTCGTTGTTTACATTCATTAAATTGTGAAAATAAGCAAATTAAAGGCTATTCTTTATAATCTTTTGTGTTGATTCTTGAGGGGGTACTTTGAGGTGTGTCTCTATTGCTTCAGTATGAGATGCCAGTGCATTGGGAGGTGTTAACAAGACTAAATGAGAGGAAGTTCTCACCACTCTAGTACTACCTACAGTCCAACCCGCTGCAGAGATGTGATGTCAAAACCAACGGCAGTCAACCCCTCTTATCCTATGCTGTTGTTTCTCCATGCAATGAAATATTCACCAAGCTCCAAACTGGTAGTCTGAAAGACAACATCCCTCAAAACGAGATCAAATAGTTATCTCGAGCCACAATGAAGATCTTACAGAATGAATAGAACAGTGGCAGATATCTGTACTAAAGACCTATCTGTCCAGTGCTCTGCACCAGCGGAGAGAACACCTCACAATCACAACAACAACATCAAAAAAACATGACTAAAAACAAATCCCAACTGAAAGTAAAATGCATTACTGAATAATCAAACCAGGCCGCACTAAAAAATTCATCTTTAAACAATTTAAAATTTATTTAGATAACAAAAACATATTTATCAGCAAAATAAAATTATTTTTTATTTTCTGCAAGTCTCATTCTATAATTGAACAGCTGATAGACCTGTTTTCCTGTTTTCCAACTGATCAACACTCTAGATTTCCTTACTAGACAAATTAATCAAGCTGTAAATTCAGTTAATTCAGGCGCGCAGTCTTGCGAATGGAACAATAAAACCTTTGCCCAGTGTGCTGCAGGCTGTGCACATTAAAGATCCCTCGACAATTCCATCTCAAACAAAATTGAAGGCAGCTGCAGAAATGTGAGACGTAAAGTCTCCATGCATTTCATTTCTGAATTTTGCAAATCATAGCTTAACTGAAAATTTATACAAACGCAAACCAGACAGTAAAAACCACGGCAGTGTCTTCTCTCATTTTCTACACCCAAAAGAAAAGTTGATCAAGACATAAAAAAGAGGCCTAAGAATTGTATTTCTTATATTTAGAATACTATTCCTTTTGGATTACTTTTGTTAAAACACACAAGTTATAATACGTTACATTTTTATTGCCGTTTTAGTTCAAACGTAGTCGGGTATGTTTTATGGCAAAACGTTGAACACATACGTCCAAGTTAATTTTCGTGGTACGCTTCCTGTTGAATGCAAGAACAAGATTGCGCTGGCGAAGCTGAGTCATAGATCGTCGTTGTGGTGAGTCAACGCGAGTAAGTGTTCACAGTACAATTCGTAGTAGTGTCGGAACCATCAAGCAATTTGTCTTTTTTCATCAAATATTTATCCATTTTTCCTACTTTGGATTGTTTGATTAATATGAATACAATTTAGGATAATATATGTCTATCAGTTAGTATTTATAATCAACCAATCAAATCTTTTGAATTTTGAGACGAGACAGATTACAATCCAATATCAGACCAATAATTTTGTTACCAATGACGCTTTACTGTAGCCTTTTTATGATTTTCAACGAACTCAATTGTATCAAATTGTCTATTCTTATGTAATTAAATTTAAAAATGTTATGAAAAGCTATGATGTCTGGTTTCATCCTCAGCTAAGTATAAACAGAAAGATATTGAAAAACAGTTCTTAAAGTGATATTACGTCTTAGAATTAACATAAAATTAATTAATATCATGATTAAGTGTTTTTCAATAATTACTTAGTTTTATTAATTTTCAAATTGCACCAAAAATATCATTCATAATTCCATAGCAGACCATAGGAAAAAATTGGCCATTTATCAAAAATTGGCCATGTAGGGGCTTCGTCATTGACTGGCCAGTGACAGAGTTAGGCATGAAAATAACATGTTGGAATTTTGGAGATATTCACAGGTCTGAAGGCACTATGTGATTGAGTTTGTGCCAATTCCATTCAAAAATCTGCCCCACCCCCATTACTGTGGACTCTGCAAAAATTGGCCATGTAGGGGCTTCGTCTTTGACTGGCCAGTCCGTCATATTGGATATTCGTCACTGGCCATATTTGAGAAATTATAGGAATAAAGACCGTTTCTCCCCATTGTACACCTGAATATGTCAGATTGGCATCTGAGGACCTCACTGGCACCAAAAATATCATTCATAATTCCATAGCAGACCATAGGAAAAAATTGGCCATTTATCAAAATTTGGCCATGTAGGGGCTTCTGGGCAGTGACAGAGTTAAGCATGAAAATAATATTATGTTGGAATTTTGGAATGTAATCCCAAGCTGTAATCGGAATTCCAAGTGTCGTCTGCTAGAATATAATCCAACGAATGAAGTCACGTGATCAATTAGCGGATTCCGTGTCAGCAGAAAATTTCTATGGAACACAAAGTGTACCAAATTCTTATGTTGTTTCAGTGACTTTTAGCAATAAATCACGCTACGTATCTTATTTTGTCAGTCATTATTTTTTTAAAAAAATTATGGTTCTTTGAAGGAATTGTCACTAGTTATAATGAATTGATATTAAAGATAAATATTAAGAGAAGTTAATTATACCACCCGGTATCCATACAACGTGTTTTTCTAGACTTATTTATAGATCAAACATTGTACACGAAAATAGGTGAGGCATTCTGCCGCCGTTGCCGAGTTGGTTGCTCATAAAATATTGGTCAAAGTGAAGGATTCATAAAGAAAATCGAAATAAACCAATTTTAATTATTTTTTAGAATATCTGAGTAAACATCTAAGGTATAAATTTTTTTTTTCGTTTTTTTAACTTTGACAAAATTCGGTGTTGAATCCTTATATCCACGAAAATAGGTTACACCACTGTATAATTCCAAAGGAGACCATTGAAAACATTGGCCATTCTTCATTATCCATATTGGCTATCCGTCACTGGCGAAAGAAATGTTGATAATTATGTAATGATTCTATTCATTACACGACTTTGTAGAGGCTTTATTTGAATAAGAAAATGAATTACAAATTTTTCGTTTTTTGATTTGATTACAACAATTACAACAATCCAAAAAATTAGTGTATCCATTGGCCACAAAAATTGGCCGGCCACTGAAATAATGACGAAGTGACAATTGGAGTTTTTTGGTAAAAGAAATTACTTAAATTTCAAAATCTGAGTATGAACTGAATTATGATGTCATGTATGAGGCTGCCATAAATTCTACATTATAGATCTAAGCCTGTATTGAGGCCTGAGGCCAATACAAAATTATTGATAGTGTATTTTCACCACAGTCACAGTGAATGAACGGTGGAGGAGAGGGATTACTCCATCTCATCATAGATCTACTGGCCTTAACATTAATGAACATTGCTTCACTCTGTGACAGTGACTTGAGAATAACAAAGCAATATATTCCAAAGGCTTCGTGATCCTGTCGGTTAATCCAATTGATGGCACTGTTGCAGTTTCGACCCCTTTTCCTTCCCATTCAGCTATCGATTTGAAACTTGGCAGAGGGGTACTTATATATGTCCTGAATATTCACAGCAAATTTCATTATATAATTGATATAAGATTAACAGGCTTTTTAATTAGTTAATATGAATTAATTAGGGGAGGAAACGCCTCAGAATAGGGTTGGAAACCACTAGGATTAAAGATAGGGGGAACCACTGGGGAGGAACTCATTTTGAAATACCTTCTTTTCAATCTATGTTTCTCGCTTTAAGACTCTCTGTGCTATTAGATTATTATCCGTTATTTTCAATTGAACCATTCTGCATTTAAAAGTCTACCTTTTTTATTGACACCATGTTAACTAGAAGTAGGCTATGACAATACATGTGGCCAGTGCTTCTATAACACCTATAACAATATAAAGCTGAAGCTGACAGTTTCTCCTTCTGTAAAGATTATTATTACTGGTAACTAAAAATAAAGGGAACTTTTTATGTACAACTCGCTTCTATATCAAAACACTATATTGTGATCAAATGAAATGAAGAAGGGGGATTAACATGATAAATATATTATTATCAGCTTTTGTGTATCATTTTTAATTTCCAGATGAAATATGGCATCAACACAGCCAACCTCCTCAAAAAGAAAACCTGATTCAGTTTCGTCAACTGGCAGCCGTGAGCCGGCAGATAAAAGACAAAGATTAGAAGATGAGTGGGATGATGATGATGATGAATTTTGTTTATCTCAAGCTGACATTCACAACATTGATGTCATGTCCTCACAAGCACTGGCTGTGGACCCTAATGTAGGTGCAAGACCCAGCTCATCAGACACAACATTTCGCACGCCAAAATCGACTTTATCATTAAGGAAACAAACTTCTTCATCCTCGTCGAATTCATACGTATCTGTCAATGGCAGTGATTCTTACCCGTCGTCCAATGATAGCTACAGACGATCTCACAGTAGTTCTTCGTTATCCAGTCACTCTAGTTCTAACGGTGTTAACACTACACCACTCTCAGCATCTGGTGTCAGAGATACTCTTCAACTTGAATTAGACAAATGGAGAACACAATGTCAGAAAATTTCAGATCAGGTACATGGTAATTACTTTTTATATAATTAACTTCAAGCTTATTTTGTGTTTCTTCTTAAAGGTTCTCTAACGCCATTGTGATCACCAGTTGTGAATAATGATCTAAATCACCATGAGTTCCGAACACAACTCACAACTCACTTGCATGAGAGTTGCATTCCAAACTTGTGAAACGTTATCAATTTTAAATGACTTGGATATTTGGTTAACTCTCTAATTTACCTCTTGAAGCTTATAACCTTTTGGTGAGCCAAATACACCAGGATAGTTAGGAAGTGAATGAGGAATGCATTAATGGTCTTTCCTTTTGCCATCAAACAATTTCAAATTGAAGCTATGTCTACTGAACTCTCACCCAACCAAGCTAAATGTTGATCAATACACATGCTATTGTTTAAACTTCTATTTTCAGAAAAAATCGTTTGAGCAAGAGATCTGTATGAAAGATGGAGAAATAAAGAATTTACGGACAAAATTAACTCAAAAAGACAGTGAACTGAATAATTTAAGATCTGAAAGCCATTTAAAATCAGAGGAGCACAAAGTCTATCAGAGTGAAAAAGAGAAAAATTTGAAATCAAATTGTGAAAAATTAGAAACCCGTTTGCAATTTCGTGAGAATGAATATTCAGAGTTAGAAGAAAAGTGTCGCTTATTGGAACATCGGCTTCAACTTTTACAAACAACTTCACCGAAAAAATCTTCCACTCCTACAAAATCTCAACGTAGTCCTAAACCTACTCGTCTTGCCGTGACTACATCCCCACGACCAGTCAGAGGACAGTTTCCAACATCTGAAACATTCAGATCTGATGAACGTCCAGAACAAGCTTCCACTAGTCGAGTTTCTGTCCAGCCTTCAACTTCTGCCACAACCAGTACTTCAGAGAATGTTTCTGAAACAGGTAAGGTCATTGTCTGTCACTTTAACAAATTTAAAAGGAAGGAAAATAAGAAAAATGCTGAAAGATATGTGACAAAATAATTTACACATATTTTAATGGAATTTAATGGAGACACAATTGCTTTCACCCTTTAGAATCATATTTTGGCTTGAAATATAATGTTTTTAAGATTGATTAAACCTGGGTGTATTATCACTATCACGTTTGGTTTATATTGTATGTTGTTGAATTTGATTCTGTTTCTATAGAACGTCTGATATCTATTATAGGACCCCAAAGAATTCGAAGGTGTCCGTTAACATCCACTGTATCTTCAGGTAGGTCTTCATTGTACTTGTACTTGTATTGTGGATTTATATAGCAGGTTTTTTGTTTGGCAATCTTTTAATTTGTCTATCATATATTGTCAGCCTTTCTTTAATCATATTTATCCACAGTACATTCCTGCTCACTCTTCATGCATAGAGAATTAAAGCTTGTGTTTTGATGGCGGCTCCCATCAAGTAGCAATATTCAGCCTAAAATGATGTAAAAAGTTGTTTTGTTTGTTTCTGTAATATTCATTAATATTAAGGGATATCTTCTTGAAAAGTTGGAGTTTGTCTTCCTATTCTTTAAGAAATATCGAGCTGATTGAGCTGATTGTGGACCCATTTTTAATAGAACTGACAATTTTGCATACATTTAATAATAATGATAATAGTAATAATAATAATAACAATCTATTTATATCGTGCTGGTAATTCCAACAGTAAAGTTGCTCTTTAGTGCACATAATAAAACACACCCACACACACATAAAAAAGTTGTAGATTTAAAAAATTCAGCACACAATTAAAAACAAATAAACACGCCGGTAAAAGGTATTTAGTTAAAATCAATATACGTTATTGTAATATGAGTTGGTAAAGAGTTATACTAGGGTATATTATTATTACAGTAGAAGTGAGTTATACTAGGGTATATTATTATTACAGTAGAAGTGAGTTATACTAGGGTATATTATTATTACAGTAGAAGTGAGTTATACTAGGGTATATTATTATTACAGTAGAAGTGAGTTATACTGGGGTATATTATTATTACAGTAGAAGTGAGTTATACTAGGGTATATTAATATTACAGTAGAAGTGAGTTATACTAGGGTATATTATTATTACAGTAGAAGTGAGTTATACTAGGATATATTATTATTACAGTAGAAGTGAGTTATACTGGGGTATATTATTATTACAGTAGAAGTGAGTTATACTGGGGTATATTATTATTACAGTAGAAGTGAGTTATACTGGGGTATATTATTATTACAGTAGAAGTGAGTTATACTGGGGTATATTATTATTACAGTAGAAGTGAGTTATACTAGGGTATATTATTATTACAGTACAAGTGAGTTATACTAGGGTATATTATTATTACAGTAGAAGTGAGTTATACTAGGGTATATTGTTATTACAGTACAAGTGAGTTATACTGGGGTATATTATTATTACAGTAGAAGTGAGTTATACTAGGGTATAGTATTATTACAGTACAAGTGAGTTATACTGGGGTATATTATTATTACAGTAGAAGTTAGTTATACTGGGGTATATTATTATTACAGTAGAAGTGAGTTATACTAGGGTATATTATTATTAAAGTAGAAGTGAGTTATACTAGGGTATATTATTATTACAGTAGAAGTGAGTTATACTGGGGTATATTATTATTACAGTAGAAGTGAGTTATACTAGGGTATATTATTATTACAGTAGAAGTGAGTTATACTGGGGTATAGTATTATTACAGTACAAGTGAGTTATACTGGGGTATATTATTATTACAGTAGAAGTGAGTTATACTGGGGTATATTATTATTACAGTAGAAGTGAGTTATACTAGGGTATATTATTATTAAAGTAGAAGTGAGTTATACTGGGGTATATTATTATTACAGTAGAAGTTAGTTATACTGGGGTATATTATTATTACAGTAGAAGTGAGTTATACTGGGGTATATTATTATTACAGTAGAAGTGAGTTATACTAGGGTATATTATTATTC